GACTTGGTGTTGTCAGCACCACGCCCAGCCAGTGAGCGAACCGGCCATCCCTATATGGGATCCGAACCCGGGGCCTTGGTGTTATCAGCACTGCACTCTCCCGAGTGAGCCACCGGGACGGCCCTTAATGTGAAAATTAAATGGCAGAAGGGAATAGGTCACATGTAAATACAGTCTATAGTAGGTTTTTTGAACTTAAATAGTTTAAAAAATGAAGATTGTTAGTTTTCACTCCAGGCATATTTTTTTTTTTCAATTTCCTATTTTTAAAAAACAGCTTTACTGAGATTTAACATTCACAATATTTTTGATGAACTAGGTCTAAGGTGGATCCCCAAAATATGTATTTTAAAACAGTTATCCTACATAATTCTGATGCAGTAATCCTTTGACCACTTTTTCTCCCTAAGGATAAATATTCCATTCATGTTTCTTAAATCTCTTTTTAAAAATTTACATATAGGGCCAACCCCGTGGTGCACTCGGGAGAGTGCCGCGGGTCCAGATCCTATATAGGAATGGCTGTGCGCTCACTGGCTGAGTGCGGTGCTGGCGACACCACACCAAGGGTTGCGATCCCCTTACTGGTCACGAAAAAGACCAAAAAAAAAAAAAAAAATAGAATTTACATATAGCCCTCGTTCAGTAAAGTGTGTTGACTGTGCTAGTTTTAACTGTGCAACTTGGTGAATTTCTACATGTATATACACTTATGGAACCACTACCCAGATTAAGATGTAGAATATTTTCAGCACCCTATTAAAAAGTTCCCTCTTCCCAATCGATACTCCCCAGAGATAACCACTGCTTACCTTTGACACCATTGATTAGTATTGTCCATTCTTTAAAATGGAATCATATAATATGCATTCTTTTAAATTTGGCTTCTTTTGTTCAAGATGATGAGTGTGAGGTTTATACGCATTTTTGTACATGTCTTTGGTTGACATATGCACTCATTTGCACATATATCTGGAATTGGGATTGCTGGGTCATAGAATAGGCTTTTGTTTAGCTTTACTAGATTTCAAGCAGTTTTCCAGGATGGCTGTTACCATTATATACTCCCACCAGCAACATATGAAAGGTTCTGTTGCTTTAGGTTCTTACCAAACTGGGTATTGTTAGGGTTTTATATTTTAACCAGTCTGATGGGTGTGAAGTAGTACCTTACTGTGGTTTTAATTTGCTTTTACTGAGTAATAATGATGTGAGTATATTTTACTAATGAGTATTTGCTTATTAGGCATCTGGTTGTTATCTTTTGAGAAGTGCCTGCTTTTTTTGCCTTCTTCTTATTGGGTTATGTCTTTTTCTTATTGATTTATAGGAGATCTTAATGTAATTCGGATATAAGCTCTTTGTCAGATATATGTATTCCAAATACCTGACTGGGCTTTTCACTTTTTTTTTTTTTTTTTTTTTTTTTTATAAAAGATGACCGGGAAGGGGATCTTAACCCTTGACTTGGTGTTGTCAGCACCACGCTCACCCAGTGAGCAAACCGGCCATCCCTATATGGGATCCGAACCCTTGGCCTTGGTGTTATCAGCACCGCACTCTCCTGAGTGAGCCACAGGCCGGCCCCAGGGCTTTTCACTTTTTTTTTTTTTTTCTATAAAAGATGACCGGGAAGGGGATCTTAACCCTTGACTTGGTGTTGTCAGCACCACGCTCACCCAGTGAGCAAACCGGCCATCCCTATATGGGATCCGAACCCTTGGCCTTGGTGTTATCAGCACCGCACTCTCCTGAGTGAGCCACAGGCCGGCCCCAGGGCTTTTCACTTTTTTTTTTTTTTTCTATAAAAGATGACCGGGAAGGGGATCTTAACCCTTGACTTGGTGTTGTCAGCACCACGCTCACCCAGTGAGCAAACCGGCCATCCCTATATGGGATCCGAACCCTTGGCCTTGGTGTTATCAGCACCGCACTCTCCTGAGTGAGCCACAGGCCGGCCCCAGGGCTTTTCACTTTTAATGGTGTTTTATTGTGAATACAAGTTCTTAATTTTAATGAAGCCCAATTTATTAATTTTATTTTTATACTTAGTACTTTCTGTGCTCTTTAAAAAAATCTCTTGGACCACACTTTGAGAAATGCTGAGATAAGAACCACTTGCGGTTGGCAAGAAACTGGGGGAAATAGATGATTTCTGGGAATCCCCCTAAAATCTTTAACTTTGTCAGCAGCTCTAGGCCTTCTAGGAATCCCCCAATTAGTCTCTTCTTTTTATAGTATTAAAATTTGGTCTTTGGGGCCGGACCTGTGGCTTACTCGGGAGAGTGCAGCGCTGGGAGTGCAGCGCTGGGAGCGCAGCGGCGCTAGAAGGGCTGAGGCCGCGGGTTCAGATCCTATATAGGGATGGCCGGTGCACTCACTGGCTGAGCACTGTGCGGGCGACACCAAGCCAAAGGTTCCGATCCCCTTAACGGTCACAAAAAAAAAAAAGTTTGGTCTTTGCGTATTTTATGTCTCTGTTGTTAAACACACAGTTATCAGTCTACTGCAGTGAAAGCAATGGGTTGTAGCTAAGTTGTTTCAGTGGCTTAGAGCAGTGATTCTTTAATTTTTTCACAGAAGTATCTTAAGCACAGGGGGGAGAGTGAGTGCATAATTGGGGGGGGTATCTGGACTCTTCTCAAGACCGGAAGCAGTTGTTGAAAGCAGGGAATATTTCTTAAAAATGTGTGCCAGTTTTTAGGAAGATAGTTTGTTTTCATTTAAAATAGCATTCAAATTATTCTAGCCTTTACTCTTAAATTTAGAATGAAATTGAGGGAGGCAGAGGCTTCAGGAGTCTGTACCATGTTTATTCAGCAGCCTCAAGTATCTTTGGCAGCCCTGGGCTTAGGGTTTTCATATGTTGTCTTCACTAATCCATTTGCTTTACTAAGTCCAGGAAAGTTAAGAAACATTTACAGTAATCACTGGTAGAGTCAAAACAAGATCTCAGTCCTCATTACTCTTCTCCCTATACTATCTGGTGTCATAGTACTAAGTTGAGGTCATGGGATTATACCTTGAAACAACAGAAGAGAGCTGAATAAATTCAGGACAGCCTGTGAAAATTAAGAAAAGAGTGCTCTTAATGGACCAAGAATTTTGAGGAATTTCTGGAAGACAGAAAAACAGGTGCCCTAACTTCAGAAGTTAAGCATAAGTTTAATTTGATCTTAGCTGTTGGTGGAGTAGCTAAAGATCATGTAAGGAATATTAATGCTGTCTTTTCTGTTGATTATGTGTTTAAATGTCTATGAAATGACCCTCCTAAAAGGGGTTTATGATTTTAATTATCCATTAATTTGTCCTAAGCAAATTTTGCGTTAGTTATTTCTGAATCCTTAAATATGCTGCTGTTAGTTGTTCTTGCTTTTGGGGACACTTTTTTCTTAAATTTGCTTATAGTTGGTACTTTGGACTACATTGTTTCTCTGAAGTTGAAAAATGAAAAATGTATAATTTTGAGATGAAATATTAATTATTTTTGGTAGTAACCTCATTTTATTATAATTAATTCTTGGAAACAGATAGTACAAGTTATATAACTTGCTGTTTTGTTTCAGGATTCTAAGTCAGCCATATTCATTCTTAAAAGATTCTTATGGCTAAAGGCAGAAAATATATTTTTACTTTTTTTGTTTTTTTTCCTTTTTGTCTTTTTTCGTGACTGGCAATGGATCGCAACCCTCGGTGCTGCACCCGCACCTCGCTCAGCCAGTGAGCGGCCAGTCTGTATGTGGGATCCGAGCCCGCGGCGGGAGCGGCGCCACGCTCCCAAGCGGCGCACTGTAGCAGTGCACCACCGGGCCGGCCCTAGCCATAAGAATCTTTT